GAAAAGCACAGAAAGCATCATTCTTATATCCCCTTGGCAGTCTTTCAAGAACGACTGGTCGAGCTTGAGTTTAAACCAAATTCATCTGAAATAAAGAAGGATACAACTATGTGTATGTCATTGGAATTGGATCAAAATCTATTTTCCTCTGATTACTACTTTGTTGATTCTGTTGATGACGTTGCTGTTGTGGCTGAAGAGCAGGAGCTGCAGGAGTTGATTGATCACTGGAATAACAAAAACAACTTATTTTGTTTAATGATTCTTGTTATGAGATATCCTTTGCCTACCATGAGAGATAACATAGGAGTCATTCTCTTTCTTCTTGGGAGAACTATCACCATACTTCTTAGCACCATTTACTGAGTCCCCATCCTTGGATAGACGACCTTCACAAGTAGCTTCCTCTAAACAGACTCTCGTGCTTACCATTTCAGTGAAATAAATTGGAGCACATGCGACCATGTTCTCATAGTATAAGGAACTGGGAGTTTTCAGGAAGATCTTAGTCATTTATTTGTCTTCCATTGGAGGGATAACCTGGGCGACTACTTCATGCCATCTCTGTGTGTATTCTTTAAATGATTACTTATGCTTTTGAGTCATGGCCCTGAGTTGATCACAATTAGGTGCCATATCTATATTGTACTTGTATTCCCTAACAAAGGATTCACCAATGTCATTAAAATTGTGAATGCTAGTACTTTCCAAACCCATGTACCATTTGAATATAACTCTAGTCAAACTATCTTGAAAGTAGTGAATCAACAGACATTGATCATCAGTGTGGGCTGACATCTTCCTGACATACATTACCAAATGAGCTTGTGGACAAGAATTTCCCATGTACTTTTCAAATTCCAGGACTTTAAATTTGGCAGGCACCTTGACATTATGGACAAGGCAAAGATCATTGACATTCTTATCAAAAAGCTCCTTCAGTCTGAGGGATTTCATTTCCTTTTGCGTCTCCAGAAACTGGTTCTGAAAATCCTTCATACGATCAAAAATACCCAAGCTCTCACTTGGTGCAACATCATAATGATAAATTTGATCATCAACAACAGGGGTAGCATGCACAACAGAAAGTGCAGTAACCACAATAGGCTGAACATGATTAGAAACTTTCACAACTGAATTATAACCTTCGGGGACAAAGTTCTCAGGCATACCCCAAGGATAACCATGGGGAATCTGATATTGAGCAGCAGTACTGATAGAAGTAATGTAAATAGGAACTGGCAATATCTCAGAAATAACAGTAGCTTATTGTCGAGGTCGAACAATACGAGGATAAGGAGGATGAGGTGGTGGCTGATTCTTAGTAGCCATAAAAGATTCCACCAGAGCGGTAAGTCTTTCCATTCTAGATCTCAAAGTAGTTACCTCTTTGTGGAGCGCATAATTTTCTTGTTCAAGGTTTTCCAACTTTTTCTAGTAATTCACACGAGTATTGTATTGATGCAACAATTTAACTGAACCAAGACCAAAGGAATTGAGTAAGACTCCCGAGAAACTTATGAGACTCAAAATTAAGTGCAGAAGGATACATGACATGCAATCCAATTTCCATGTTCCAATGTTTCCAAGATCTTATAGGCTTTGATTCCTATTATTTAAGCCATGGTGTCCTTCTTGACAATAATCATTTTTCAGGCGGCGTAACAATTGGAATCAAAGAAATGCTACTTGGAAACGAAGGAACATGTATGCTAAAATGACATTAACATGCTATGTATGCAAGCATATGAGATCAAGGTTCCATCAAGACTAGATACCAATTACACTGCTTCTGAATATCATAAGATCAAAGGTTCGACACAATCTCATAACACAACGAAAAACGAGTATCATAAAGATCAGCCTTTGTACCTATAAGAATAATTACCACCCTTTCTCACAGGTAAATTCTGGATTGGGTATGGTCAAAGGGTCACAGAGTCTTGAGTCACATGGAAACCTATCATCATAGCAGCAAACATGCACAACGATAGTAATCCCCACATGAATCTCGTCTGTGCGTGGCTCTCATGATCGTGCTATTAGGGTATGCATTCAATAGGCATCATGGCTATCCACTCTAGTCCTATGTGTTCCTAAATGTTTCCCTCTGGTCTGAGTATTGGGCCTTTTAGCTTATAGTAACATCCCACCCACCAAGAAAACACAGAAGATCCAATATCTAGCACAACAACAGTATCCATCACATGGAAAGCAATAAAAACACAACGCGTGCAATAAATAAACAACAAGTAAAGCACATAGTTAAACACCCAAAGAAAAAGAAATAACAAAGCTAGGCTTGGATAACTTAGGAAAGATCCCCCTGTGAAGTCGCCAAATTTTCTGTAGCGGTAAAAAGTTGAGACTAAGTCATTGATTGACTTAACTCAGAAAGTGAAAGTCGCCACTGAACTTTATTGTTCCAAAAAGGAATGGGAAAAGATAGAATAAAACCCACAAAAGAAATAGAGATCAAGGTACGAGGGTCGGTTATGCAAAGGGAAGGTATTAACACCCTAACCATCTGTTATACTCAACAGGATCCACTATGTTTGTTCTAATCAGAGAGTGTGTTATTTAAAGCTTAAACTTGCTAAAGGGAATGCATGAATAAATTATTAAAGAACCAAAAAGAGATTTTTTATTATTGCGTTTGCCTGCATTTTATAACTCAGTGCCTACGTATCCCGCAAAGGAATCAGAACACTGTAGTTTTTCTCAAAAAAGAATTGTTTGTGTTTTTTAGTGGACAATGTTAAGTTTCACATTCTACTACAACTCGACCTTTGGAGACTCACACATTTGTCGTAAAAAGGAATTAACATGTTCTTACCTGAGAAGGTTTTAAAAAAAAAAAGCCCGAAGGCAAAAAAGTTTGTATTGGTTGAGTGTTTTTGTTGGGATAATAGCAAATGGATCCCAATTGAGGGACACTTACTACTTCTTCACTTATTTGTGAAAAGGGTTGTGAATTGGATTATACTAAAGACTATGGATGAAAGAAAGAACAAGGTTCATAATGTACTGCCTCATCCTTTTCCCACCACTTAAGGCTCGTTACATATGATCTACATCTTTATTCATTAAGTGTTTTTGAGATTTGATAAGAAAAAGAAGTTTATGTTTTAAAGATACAAATTCAAAAGAGGAAACAAAAGGTCTAAGGGAAACTCAAATCCTAATGTTGTCATACAATATTGTCCTAAAGTTAGGATAACAAAGGAAAAACTACCTAATTTTATCATGAAAAAATAGTCCTAAGGGCAATGAGAAAGGGAACTACCTAATGTTATCATGCTTTGTTTAGAACTTAAGGTCTATTCAATTCACATCTTAGAGAAGATGGAACCAAACACCTAAGAGAACATGTGATCACAAGTAAATGATAAACATCAAAAGAAATGGCATAAGAGCCAACCACACAACCAAGTATGAAAAGATCAAACATCAATAATAAGTTGGGTAAACAAAGCCTAACTTAATGAAAATAGTGCTTAAGAACCATCTCAAACAAACATCAAACACTCACAATCATCTGAACTACTAAGCATGCATTTAAAGCTCTAAAAAAGAATTCAAACATGTATCAATTAACCATAAAAGGAACAAAAATCAACACTCAAACTCTAAGCATTTATGTGTCTAAGTGTGACAAAAATATTGGCTTAAAGACATGTTCAAAAGGCATCAAACATCAACCATAACCAAATAGATAGTCATCTAAAACACATTCCACAATTAATTCAAAATAGAAAAATAAATGGAAAACAAAAATATGTCAAAAATTAATTAAGACATTAATTGATCAGAAACATATTTTTGTATATTTTTTATAACAAAAAAAATCAAAATTTAAATTTAAATTGAAAAGAAAACAAAAGTATTCAAAAGAAACATGGGGTGTAAAGCTGAAAGTCAGTTGAACTGAACTTAGTCATGGCGCTGCAAGGCCCAATAAATAGAGGGGTCCGAACAACAAATTATACTAGGCCCAGATCGACTAGCGCTTCAGTCCAATCAAAAATAATATTGTCCATATTTATTATCATGTTATTCCATTATTTCATTTAATAATCAGATCTTAATTAATAAACAAAAATGAAATTAAAAAAAAAACAAATCAAATAACACATGATCCACTAAGAATGTGCCACCTCACGTACTTCATGAATACAACAACGATCAGAATCATAAACGGAATCAACCTTCTTCTCTGGTGCCGGTCACCACCGGAGGTTGCCATGGCTGCCTAAAAATAATGTGTAACAAACCTTCCCCCCTCAAAATTTTGTACTGATTACAAATCTGAGCTCGAAATTACCAAGCTCTCACTCTAAAGCAATCTTAGATACACAAAGCGTGCCTCCGGAAGAGGACTTCAAATGCAAATTATCTATATGCTTCTATCGTACTTTCGACCTTAGAATGCATCCAGAAAACTCTTCTTGGTGAGAGGAAAAAGAAGATTTCACGATTGCTTCAGATGAGAGAGAGAGTGTGTGTGTGTGTGTGTGTCAACCAATAAAAATCATGTAAAGTGCCAAGTCACACTGTAAATTTTAAAATACTTTCATTGATTTGACACTATATATATGATTATTTCGGATATGCATATACAAAATCTCTTTAAAAACAAATTATTAGATTATTTCGAATATACATATTCAATTTTTAAAAATAAAATATTAAATTATTTCAGATATATATTCGAAAATTCTCTGAAAATAAATTATTAAAAATAAAATATCAGATTGGTTCGAATATGAATTTGTATATATTCGAATTCTAGAAATATTTATGAAATTTTGCCAAAAAAATCTTTAAAAAAGTGTAAGGATGGCTAAAGAAATCCACCATCCCATAAATAATAATAATAAAAAAAAGTAAAGTAAATGTACTCTAATATAGTTTCCGTGCTCACTCTTTTATAGTTCATTTGCTTTAAGTTCTCTCCAAGACGACTGCGTTTCAGCATCAAAAACTTCTCTCTCTCAACCATGGTAAGCTTTCTTTTTCTGCGTTCTCTTTTTCCTCTTCGTATTCTCAATTTAGGGTTTAGAGATCTATCCACATTGTTAATTCGATTATTCAATAATTTTTCCGATTTCGATCGACGATTCAACCCTAAAAATCATAGTGTTATTTTGATCTATAATTATCAGCATTAGTGTAGTTTTATTTCGATCGGTTATTGTATTAAGGAATTTTCTGAATCATTCTAATCCTAATTACTATTCTGTATTAGGTTTTGCTACAATTAGATCCGTTTCTCAATGAACTCACCAGTTTGTTCGAGCGCAGTACCGAGAAGGGTTCTGTTTGGGTTACTCTCAAACGATGTATGTGTTAATTTTGTTTTAATTTCTTAGATTGAGTTAGGGTTTTCGGTTTATAGATTCTGAAATTTAATTTTTGTTGTTGTGTATTTTTTTCTTTCAGCATCCTTGAAATCTAAACTTCAGAGGAATAAACTAGCTACTGATGGTAAACCAATTGAGTATAGATGTCTTATACGGGCCACTGATGGGAAAAAGACGATTTCTGCTTCGGTATGTATCTCTGATTTTGTTGTTGTTTTCAGCTACGTTTTTTTAATTAAAACTTTGCTGTTAGATGAACTTTTGCAATCTTTTACTAGGGTGCTTATAGGAGTTTCTCAATTGAAACTAGCGGATAAGCGGATACTAATGTGTGCCCGTTTGTTTGCTCTTCTATTGCATGCCTTATGCATAATTTTGCATTCTCTCTTAACTTTCTTTTTTTTCTTCTATATTTCGTTCTTTATTTTCTCTAGTCGTTCTTCTCTAATATTTAAACTAGTGTAAAGGCATAGGGATTTAGCTGTTTATTATATAAATGTTTTAGTTTAAATAACCCAAACATCTCTCATCAGTTTTTCCTGTTTCAGTTCTTTTTGTGATTACCTGATCTTTGCTTGTGTTTCTTGGATTGGACAATTGGGTTTGGGTTAGACTTTCTGTAGAAAGACATCTCAAATTTGAAACTTGTTTTTTGTACTATGTCATGCTTGTGTAGAAAACTTTGCACTTAGTTGTACAGGCTGGGTAATGTGCTGTCTTAATTTGTGCCAGATATGTTTACTATTGGACTTTTCAATGCCTAGGGTTTGAGTGTGCATTCTTTTTAACGTGGTTACCAAAAATGAAATAAAAAAACCAGTGACAGTATTGTTTTTCATACACTATCTGGAATATGATTTAAAAAATAATTGTAGATCAAACCATGAAAATAGATGGTAACAGATGGACAATCTCTGGGCTCTAATTCACGTTGCTGTTTGTTCAAAGAAGTCACCCTCACAATAATATGATTAATGGTGTTATATATGCATAAACTGATAGAGCCTCTGAATCTGATCATAAATTATATAAGAAAAACTTTTTTAATTGAGTAGATTCCTTATCCTTTAAATTGTAGAGTGCATATTCAGTCTTTGTGGTTGTGAAGTTGTAGTTGTAATGACTTCAAGAACATGCTGAGGTACTAAGTTATAAGCTGGGATCATCACTAGATGCTATCTTTAATGCTTAAATATCTTTTTGTTCTTGTGAATGTAACAGTTTTTGGGTCTCTAATTTTTTGTCCTAGTCACTGAAGCATAAGAAAATTTTCTTATGAATGTAACAGTTTTTGTTCTTGTGAATGTAACAGTTTTTGGGTCTCTGTAATTTTTTGTCCTAGTCACTGAAGCATAAGAAAATTTTCTTTAGTCCTTATTATTGCATTAGTCTTTGGAATATTTGTCCATGTTAGAATTAGTCCTTATATGGTTCATGATTTAGGTACTAAATTCAATAAGGTTCACTTATTATAAGACTATAACCAACATGAACAAATATTATATATACTAAAATCAAAATAACAAGGACATAAAGCAAATTTTGTATGTTTAGGAATTAAAATCCATAACAAATTCAAGGAGTAAGGTGAAAATGGTATATTTATTGGGATGAAAAAAGATATTTAATCCCATCTCCATATTTAAATACCTGCTGAACAGTTTTCAATTTTAGTGGAAAAGTTTTCGACTTGGAAACTTGTTTCATATATTATAATAATGCATCCTGCTTGTGTGGAAAATATTACAGTTTGTTCATGCTGTAAAATGTGTTGTCCTCCTAGTATCTACCGATTTTTTTTACTGCTAGATCTTTTGAATGAATTTCCTGCCCCCCTTGGCTGATTATCCGTGTTGGTGAGGCTTAGAAAACACATGTAGCATCTGATTGAGCATTAAGTAGTTGCTTTTTAAAATATAAGTGACAGTATTATTTTTCTTACACTATGAAGAATATCATCTCAAACTAATTTTAGATCAAGGCATGAAAATGAAGGGCAATTGAAATGATTGTCTTTTGACTCTCATTCTTCTGTTTGTTAAATAATGATCATAGGTCTTATATATGTATATAGTGTACATGGTTTATGCAAAGCCAACCTTGGCTCTGCTTTTGTTAGCATATTGAGAGTACGTAATTAGGCTTGATCATTTTATCGGAATTTGTTGTCTAGCTTGGCACCTTACTTGGTTTTGGGCTCCTATAGGCACTTTAGGTTCATGTTGGCAAGGTTGTCATTAAAAATTTATTTAGGCAGAATTTTGTGAGTAAAGGATCCTATTAATTGGGTTGATTGAAGAATCCAAACGGGTGAGTGCATTTGATGAGTAAAGAAATCCAGGGACAAGAGAGTCGCGAGATTGGTCAAAGAAAGCTTTTGAGGATCATTAACAAAAATAAAAGTTGTGTTGGTCAGTGTGTGACTTTGTGTTTATGTCTAGCTAATTAACAAAAGGTAGAAAATAGCTGTTTGAGTGGAAGAGGTAGGTTTTGGAGCGACAAAATGGGAGGGTTTGTGGTTAATGGTTATTAGGAAATGTGAATGGTAGTGTTATTGGAAATGGCATATATGTATGAAAATGAAGGGGAGAGAATTGGAGAAGAGAAAAAAATGTGACATGATTTTCGTCCTCTAACTTGTTATTACTATTATGGAATAGAGCCTTTGACTCTGAAATGCCTTCCAATTTACAGGTAAGGCCCTTAATTAAGTGTTCATAATATAAGTGATTATCATATAAATGCTTATTTATAAGCTACTTCTACAACAAAAGATAAATTTAAGTTGAACTGTTTTCATAGAAGTCATAATCTGTTTTTATAAGCAATCCTTGAGAGTTTATGGATTATAGCTTCTAAGTGGATAAACCCTTATAAGTAAATACATTGTCCCAAGTGAAGAATTCTTGTTAGCAGCCTACTTTTTGTAGATTTTGTTTTTGAATGGGCTGTAACTTGATGCATGAGTTCCCCAAGATCTTTTTTTGGCTATTTCTGCTCTTCTCTCCCTGGTTTCCATATTTATACAAGTTTTGTTTCTTCTTTCATTTCTAATATTTAGTTTTACTGGATTCTCATTTGAAAGGTTGGACCAAAGGATCATCAACGCTTTCAAGCTTCTTATGCAACTATATTAAAGGCCCATATGACTGCTCTGAAGAAGAGAGAAAGGAAGGACAAGAAGAAGTCTGCAGAGATCGATAAAAGAGAAGGAACTTCTAAGAGGCCTAAGAAATCCTGATCTGATATGCTTTTGATGTTTCGTATTCTGCACAAACTTAGTTTCCAACTGAAGGACTGGTCGGCTCAACATACTTTTTTGAGTTGCGGAGGAGGAACTGAATGGAGGGAAGAAGACAACAAGGATACTTAAATGATTCTCGCATTTCAAAGCAAGTAGTGTAAAACTGTTATGGAATTGGCAATTTGTGAAAGTTTTCCTTCAGTTCCTTCGGAGGTTATAAATTGAATCTTCAGTATAAATTCTTTTCCCCAATTGATATTTTGCTTGGTTAAACTCACTGAGTTCATCATCATGAGTCTTTAATATTTGTGCATGAGTACACAAGATTTACAGTTATTATCCTTTTTTTTTTTTGGGTATTAGCCTGTTTTTTTTTTTGGGTATTAGCCTGGGGTGTCCTTTGCGCGTAATTGCAGGGATCCGTTTTCCCTCCAGAAATTTAACACTGATGTATTTCCAGGACAGGGATCAAACCCAAGACCTCTGGTTAAATTTGAAGAGACTCATTCCATCTCATCCAAGTGCTCTTGGATTATTATATGTTGTTAGCAACTTTTGGCACACATAATTTTCCTTATTAGATAGTTCAGTTGCTTCTTTGATGTCAATGACGAAGAGCGCGCTTAGTAACAAACATAATCTTAGCATTAGAGTAGGATTCAATCATCAGACACTAGCCTTGTCGTCTTTGGATTATCACATTTTTCTTACTCCATTTGTTTTAAAACAAGTGTTGTTTTAGTCTAAAAAATTTGTTTTAAAATAAGTATCGTTTTACGTTTTCAATGCAATATTAATTCATATGTATCAATTTTACCCTTAATTATTATTGTCTGTACAACTCTCAAGATATTAAATTTCACTTTGCATCTATGACAATGCATGTGTAACCAATAATAATTAAGAACAATTTTGTAAAATTTATTTCTTTACTCGTTATTTTTCTTGATCTATGTGCAACAATTTTAAAAGATTTTTATTTTGAGACCAAGAGAATACTTTCAAAATGGATGGAAGATGGATGAGAAACTCACTGGTAACTTAAATAGAAGAAAAAGATAGATAAGAGACTTGGATCAAAGGTAACTTAAATAGAAGAAAAAGATAGACAAGAGACTTGGATCAAATGAAGTGAATTAAAAATAAAGAAGGAAAAATTTTGATTTAGAAAAAGATATAAAGAATATGTAGAAGTATTTTTACAATTTATTTCCCGAATGATATGAAATTATAACTATTATTGATAGATACAAAAACACAAGACAAAAGAAACATTGATAACGATGAGTAACAGCAAGACAGTTGGACCAAATAATATACATATTAAAGTGTGGAAGAGTTTTGGAGATAGATGTATTGAGTGACTTATTAAATTATTTAGCGAACTAATGAGGTTGGAGATAGATGTATTGAGTGACTTATTAAATTATTTAGCGAACTAATGAGGTCAAAGTTAATGTCAGATGAATATAGAAGAAACACTTGAATTTCAATTTATAAGAACAAAATTGAGATATAAAATTGTGTAAATTATAGAGATTAAGTGATTGAACGAAGATTAAGAAAATAGACTTATAGAGATTAAGTGATTGAACGAAGATTAAGAAAATAGACTTAAGTTATTGATAATCAATTTGGCTTACGTCTGAGAGGTTGAGCATAAAAGGCAATCTATCTACTTCAACCGGTAATAAATAAATATCAAATGGACCAATAAGACTTACACTCAATTTCTATTTATTTGAAAAAGGTGTATGATATGTGCCTATAGAGATTTTGTGGAAATTGTTGGAGAAGAAAAATATTATGATTGTCAATATTTGAGCTATCCAAGATATATACGAGAGAGTCTCAACTAGTGTGATGACACACGGTGGAGAGTATTTTCAAAAGGTAGCACACCGATATGTATGTTTTTTTGCAAATGATATAGTTCTCTACTTGGAGAGTCGAGGGAGGAGCTAAATGAGAAGTTGGTGATGAGTTATAAGAGCATATGACTTTCGCTTAAGCGGAAGTAAGACATAGTATGAAATGTAAGTTTACAAAAATAACAAGTGTTTCTAACCTAGAGGTAAAAGTTGGAGATCATATCAGACCACATATTACACAATTTAAATATCTTGGATCTTTAGTTCAAAATGATGGTGAAATAGAAGGAGGCGTAAAACACCAAATTCAAACCGAGTGGTTGAAATGGAGGAGGGCCTCTAGAGTTCTATGTGACACGAAAATACCCCTTAAACTAAAGGAATACTTTTATCGGAAAACTATAAGATTATAGATGTTGAACATAACGTAATGTTGGATAATAAAGAATTGTACCGATATAATTTTATTGGATCCTAAGAAGAGATAATCCATGAAAGAATATGGAAGGCGAAATACACTGACGGAGGCACGGGGTGCCCCACGAAGTGACACACCGCTAGCGTATGACAATATTGAAGTGATAAAAAGAGTTATCATTCCTTAGAGTGCAGTTTGAATACCGAGTTTTATTATTTATGTGTTTTCTAAGACGATCAATTTTTATGGTTGATTTGCGAAAAATTGAAAATTGGTTTTTCTTGATTATAAAAAAGAAGAATCTAAGGCAATGCTTCATGCCAATAACTTTACTCATACAAGTTCGATTCAAATTATAACGTAAATTTTGGTTTGTAGAAAATAATAGAAATTAGAAGTAATTAACGAGTTACCTGCTTTCGTAGCGAATCTCGTTTGTTTAAAAATATTTTAAAGCATATCTATTTAAAAAATAAGTTTTTTCAGTTGACTCTGAGACACTTTCATTGTCTCAGAATCAACTGTTCAAATTTTTAAGTTGGACATTGATTATACCCTTCCAGCATATAATCGATGTCTAAAAGTCACTACTTTAGTAGCGAGCGTACACTTTAAAAACAGAAATATCGAAACAAAACAAACATTATTGTTATTTATCATTATCAAAAAATTTGTATGAATTGTTGAAAGTAATTCCTTGTGTTGAAGCAGTTTGTTCGACAGAGACAAGGGAGTGTCGAAGTGCATGTGTCGAAGGGAAGTTGTCCAGTCGAAGAGCTTGTGGATCGAAGCAAGCTACACACACATATTTGATTTAGATCTAAAATGGATAGATTTGATTTAGTATCAAAATAGATAATTTTGGGCTTTTATAGTTTTGGGCTTTGGCTAACCTAAATCTATAAATAGAGGGAGTAAACTCTAATTTTATAATTAAGACAATCAAGTCAATTCATTATAATCACAGAATTTGCAGTTGCAAGTGATTAATAAAGTTTTCCACAGTTTGCGGGCATAGAAAAACTCTGCAGAAAATAATTTTCTTCTTTCTTTTCTTTTCTCATAATTCATTGTCATTGTGTGGTGATATCAATCTTATTCATCAAGATTGGTAGAAATTCATCATAGATATTTGATGGATTTCCAACATCTGGTATAAGAGCTCGATTAATCGATTCAAGGGGAGTATAAATCAAGAACGATTGAAGAACTCACGATGGTGAGTTATGTGAATGCAAATTATCCAGCAACTCTACCAATTTTGAAAGTAGACAACTATGAGAATTAGTGCAAATAGATGAAAATTTTATTCAGGTGTCAAGGTCTTTGGGATCTTGTAAAGTATGGATTGGAAGCGCTTGAAGAAAATTCTTCAGAAGAAGAAAAGAAGAAACACACAGAATTTGAGAAGCTGAGTTATAAAACACTATTTATAATTCATCAATGTCCGAGTCCAGAAAATTTTGAAAAAGTGAGTGATTCAGAATCTGCAAAAGAAGCTTGGGAGATTCTTGAGAAGTCTTTTGGTGGTGCATAAAAGGTGAAAGAAGTGAGGTTACAAACTCACAAAAGAACGTATGAATTGCTCCAGATGGAAGATAGTGAGAGCATATCTGATTTTTTTACTAGGGTTACAAAACTAGTGAATCAAATCAAGGTATGTGGAGAAACATTAACAATAAGAGCTGTTGTTTCGAAGATCTTGAAATCTTTGGCCCCTAAGTTCGACCACGTGGTGGTGGCTATAGAAGAGGGGAAAGAATTGTCGAAATTGACAAAGGAAGAGCTTCAAGGGACGCTTAATCTCATGAACAAAGAATGAATGAAAGAGTTGCAGGAAAGTCGAAGAGTGATGTGGCTTTACAGGCAGATTCAACAAAAGAAACCAAAGACAAAGGAAAGTGGTTCGACATAGGTAGAGGCGGCTATAAAAAATTGATTGGTAGAGAAAACCAGAACGAAGTAAACGTGTCGAATCAGAGAAGATTATACCAAGGCAACCAAAGAGGTGGTATTGCAAATAGAGGAAGAGGTGGTGGTCGAAAAACTGACAAGAGTCACATTCAATATTACAATTGTCAGAAGTATGGTCACTATTCGAGTGATTGTCCAGAAAAATGAAAGAATCAAGAAAGTGATGCAAAGTTTACAAAACATGAAGAAGAAAAGATGATGCTAATGATCACAATAAGAGATGTAGATAGATTCAAGGATCAATGGTACTTGGATTCAGGATGCTTATCACATATGTCTGGAAGGAAAGACTGGTTTGTCAACATAAATCCCTCAATGAAGAATATGGTAAAATTCGCAAATGATAATACCCTAGAAGCTGAAGGTATTGGTGATGTTATGATTATGAGAAAAGATGGCAAGAGGTCAGTAATTTCCAATGTGTTATACATACCAGGCATGAAGAGAAATTTGCTCAGTATAGGGAAGTTGGTCGAAAAGAATTATAAAGTGTTGATCAAAGATAAGATGATGAGAGTCATCAATGCAAATGGAAGATTAAACTTGAAGGCTCTTATGTATCAAAATAGAACCTTCAAGATCAAAATAAATGTGATGGAGCACAAGTGCCTTTCGATCGCAGCTAGAAGAGATGAATATATATGGAATTATCGACTAGATCATCTCAACTTCAGAGACATCAGAGATTTTAAGAGAAGAAATATGGTTTCAGGATTCCCAGAAATTGATATTCC